TCCACTTAGTCTTTCCTGGACCATTGATGATCTCAAGTATGATTTTATTAATTTGAGCTTGGAAAAGCTCCTCTCTGCTGAGGCAGCTGTCACAGGCAGAGTGCAGGCTATCCTGAGAGCAACCCAAAGATTTGGGTAAAGCTCAAACATCTCATTTTGTGAGAGGTATGTGGGAAACTCAAAGGCAGTCTTCATAGTTTGGAGAAGTTCAGGAAGACTCTATATCTCTTATGCCAGTGTGCTACCATCAATATCAGCCTCCTCTCCAAAAGTGAGTTTTTCCACAAGAAGCTCACATTGTTCTCTCCAGACTTTTTGATCAAGCTCCCTAAAATTGAGCAGCACTCCAAAGTTATCTTTAACCTCACTTAGAGATGTAAATCTATCCTCCAATGACTGAATGCTACAGTCCACTACAGCATTAAAAAATGACTCTTCAAGCCTCTTCATAGCATCCACTATTGGCTCATCTGCAGCCTCATAGGCAAAGTGCCTTTTTGTAGAACCCAATCGCTTCTCTTTCAGCACTGCTTCTGTGTTCATCTGCTCACAAATTTCTTTAGCAGATGCCTGTGCATCACAGAAGCCTGTTTTTTCAGTAACTGATAAGTTCACCTTTGTTCTTTTTTAGAAGGTGAACTGCTACATCAAGCTGCATGTTTTTTGACTCTAGAAGCTTGCTCGTGATGTTAATTTTAGACAAAATGTCATACCAGACAACACAACAAATCTGGAACCTAAATGAACCTTTCTCTTCCGCAAGGGAGTTGGCTTCAACAGCCACTACAGAGTCAGACGCTTTGCCTCTCACTTCTAGCAGGGCTTCCCTCACCTTCTCTGACTGGTACCGCAAAGCTTCAATACTTTTTATCCGGCTTTCCCAGTGTGTCTCATTCCAGGATTTGAGCGTGATGTCAAAAAACTTCCTTAAGACGTCCAACCTTTGAGTGGACCCAGCCAACAAATCGTACACATTCTCTACATTTCCAAAAAAACAAGAAGCATCCGTTGATGCTTTAGCCGCATCTGACACTGTCAGATTTAGTGTATGGGAACTGCAAGGCACATAAAAAGCTCTTGGATTCTTAACCAATAGCCTAGCCTGCACACCTTTGTTTTTTTCCCTTTATATTAGCCCCATTGTCATAGGACTGCTTCCGACAATCCTGAAAAGGGATGTTCAATTCCTCAAGCCTGTTAAGGATTAAATTGGACAAACCCAGGCCAGTGGATTCTGGAGCTATCAGAAATCCTAAAAAGTGCTCTTTTATTTCTGGTGTTGTGCCCAGAGTGACTGTGCGCACCACAACAGACATTTGTTCATGGTGACTAACATCAGGTGTACAGTTTAAAATTATTCAATAAAATTTGCAGTCCTTGATTTCTGCCACCATAACCTCAATTATTTTGTCACTGACACACGCTATCAGCTCATTCTGGACAGTCTTACACAGGTAAGACAATTTCTTTCTGCATCCAAAAGGGCCATTTCTGTTGCATCAATAGTCTTCTGCTTAGAAAGACGGAGGGCAAAGTCTTTCCACTTCACCATTTTATTGTAATGATCTTGACTATTTTCATGCTGTTTCAGCAAAGCACCTACATTTACCCAATCACACAGTCCCTCTGATGACAGCTTTGTGGACTTTCTTGAGAATGATTAGCAAAAGAGGCAGTAAACTGCATCACTTTTCTTTGAATAAATTTGCCAGCTTTGCTTGATTTTTCCTCATTAACTAATTGTCTGTATGTATAGTGGTAGT